CAACTCGTCTACCATTATCAATCATGCACTAAACTTGATGTAAGAATTCGCACATGGTAGCCAAATAATCTATATCAGAGTTTATAGGATTGCAGAACAAGCTGATGTTCAACAACTATAAAATGCATAAAAGAGAAATGCTAGCCCTTATCCGCTACTGTATATCAATTAACAGCGGACACATCCCTTGTTTGCTCTGGGTGCATCTCCTGAAGATTAAGGCTCTGTTTGGCAAAACTAGCTGAAAGCTATCAAGCTAGCTTTGTGAAATTATAGCTAAAAACTGATAGCTGTGTAGCTAGCTAATTGATTAGAGCTGTTTGGCAAAAGAAGCTGTACAACTAGCTTAAATTTGTTAAATGACTAAAAAGATCATGCAATATTATTGATATAAAATTAGAATTATTAGGGGTTAAGACGGAAGAAAAAAATTGACAGCTCCTTCCCAAAGACAAATGCACTGTTTGGCAACCAAAAAAAGTGTCTTATCTAAGAGCATGTGTCTTATTGACTTGGTCAATAAGCTAGTAGAGCTGTTTGGTGACAAAAAATAAGAGGAGATTATTTTAGAGATTGTGTCTTTTGCAAGTAGCTTTTGAAAAGCTACCTCAAGTAGCGTTTGTCTTTGGGAAGGAGCTACCAATTTTTGTCTTCCGTTTTTGCCCCTAATAATTCTAATTTTATATCAATAATATTGTATGTCTTTTTTAGTCATTTAACAAACTTAAGCTAGTTGTACAGCTACTTTTGCCAAACAGCTCTAGTCAATCAGCTAGCTACACAGCTAACAGCTTTCAGCTACAATTTCACAGCTTTCAGCTAGCTTAACAGCTTTCAGCTATAATCTCGCAGCTTTCAGCTAGTTTTGCCAAACAAAGCCAAACACTACTTAAGATAGCTTTCCAAAAGCTACTTGCAAAAGACACAATTTCCAAAATAATCTCCTCCTATTTTTTGTCACCAAACAACTCTACTAGCTTATTGACCAAATCAATAAGACACAAGCTCTTAGATAAGACACTTTTTTTGGTTGCCAAACAGTACCTAAAACACGACCAACTAAATCAACTAAATTCCAACTTATTAACAACCAGTCTTCCAAGTTCAATAAAGCGCAGACGCCGCAGAGATACCCTAAAGCCTAATTTTGGAAGGAAATAATGAGAGACGAAGGCCGCATAAAGTTGAGCGACACACTTTGAATAAAATTGGGGGGCTCAATTATGTACGACTCGAATTATATAGTGCCAGATACCAGATATAATCAGGACAAATGTTTTTGTTTTTCTAGGTACCACATAAGAAGTTTAACGACATTCTCCAGAGATCAACTTCAAACGTGATCAAGTTCTAAAATTAAAAAAAATAATCCATAGTGAAATAGGACTACAATACACAAGGGTCACAAAGAACTATAGATATCATAGCTCATAAAGGCACCGCTCCCGACTCAATAAACATTTCACATAATGGACAAATGACACACCATAAATATTTGAAAATAAACATGCGAGAATTATAGGAGTTGCAAATCTTTAGATCCCCTGATAGTCAATTAGTTTTTTAAGTACTGATAACAAAATCATCAACAACATAATCACTAAGCAAAAGGTTCCAATTCAACTTCAAATAAAGTTCTTAAGAGGCTGATAAAATCCAGAAGCATAAGCCATGAGGAAATCCACCAAATATATATGAATGTTTTCCGTTGCACATTGAGCTATCTTCCACAAGGCATCCAGAGACTTTTTTTTACCTGCAGAAGAGATGATACCGATAAGACTGTTAATATCACAAGGAATCAAACCAACAATACAAAAAACTATAATAACCAAGATATGGGAGGGAACCAAGACCGTGATGCACTATTGCTCCGAGTAGGACTCGGCTTCCTTGGGCTCCGGCTCATTCTTTTGCTGGGAGGCTGTATGATAGATTTAGCACAAAGAGAGATGAAATATTCGTGAAACCACAAAGATAAGATCATAAGAGCGCAGGATAACAATATGGCTGCGCACTTTGCCAAAACAACATGGGCCATGGCATCATTATTTCCCTTTGTGTATGCCATATTCAGTTTTCGGTTTCTATACAGCTCTTGCATGTGACTTTACTCTAAGGGATGTAATTTTTTGCAGGAGCTTCTTTGTACAAACTTTTTCGGGTTATTTAGATATTAGGCCCTCAGATCTTTGAAATTGACCATGTCCCTCAATTCCTAAAGAGTTGCAATATGGCCCCTCAATGATCAAAATATCCCTCAGCAAATGTTTTTTACTGGAACAAGAGGGGGTTTGCAGTGAATTGTGAACTGAGGGGTATTTTGGTTAATGATGGACCAAATTGCAAGACCCTTAGCATTTGAGGGACATATGGGTAATTTCAAAGTTTGAGAAACAAATATGGAACTATTGAAGATCTTTTAGGGACTAGTATCTAAATAACCCAATTTTTAAAAGGGTAAATTGCAGATAACCCCCGCTCCCAACACCAAAAATAAATAAATAGACATCTAAAACTTTGATTGGCGCTAGTCACTCCTTGTCACCCCTCAAACCCATTTACCACCACCACTTAATACTCTTCAGATCGTGAGGGAGAGGGCGCTATTTGCAACTTATCCTTCTCAAAGTGCCAATCTATGGGTGTTAGTGCCAACTAGAAAGGAAGTTATGTGCAATTCACCCTTCTTTAAACCAACTTCAATTAATTCGGGAAATGGTGTATTAGTATCCCAATATACTGTATCCTTCTGATGAATTAGAAAGACATACTAGCTCAAAAGTAATGAAAACTATTTGGAGAAGAGTAACTAAATCAGATTGCTCACAGGGAAAAAAAAAACTATGAATCTGATATATCGATGAAACAACTTACAGGAGTTACTGGAGATCTGGACCTTGACCGCGATCTGCAAAGTTTCAGAAACAACTGAATTCAATATCCACTATGTTGCTCAAATTAAACCTTGGTCCAAAAGCTTCGATGCCTCTTCCAAGTAGGGATGCCAAAGTGACACCGAAACAGGTAAAATTTTAAATATTTAGCAGCATCCATGTCTAAGAAATTTAAAAAAAACGTATAAAGCATCACTAACGATACAAGAGCATGACACAAATCCATATGAAAGCTGGAAACTGCTAAACAGGAGGAGATGTTCTGAAGACGAAATTAAAATGCCTAAGATATATAGTAGATCTTTTTTCCCCATTCTAAAGATTGAGTAGAACTAGTAATCTAATTGTACCACACAAAAATCACCATCCAGATTCCAAACAACACTCCAATTGGAGAGATGAAGCAGAGAAGAGATACCAAATTGTGGTGAATCCATAGACTTATATTCAAGGTAATCCAGCTCTATATTCCAACCCATGCTCTCTGTCCCCCTCAGAGCTCCAATGGGTATCAGACATAAGATCAAAATGCTTTACGGGTATCCATAGCTGCCCATTTATGACATATCCAATCAAGTTCCTAATATGCAATCCCCTGATAGCCGCATAAGCCCATATCTAGAAAACAAACAAGTAAACATGATGATCACATGGGCCCTATTTCTTTAATCATCTCAAGCCACTTTCTTCGAAAATATACAAATGGTAAGCAACACAAACAGAGGAAGATAGAAATCAGGAGTGATAGATATAATTACTCATTAGCAGTCACATATAAGTTTCATTCATGAGGCCACATCTACACCAGTTCTTTTTCTTTTTCTAGGAATTTTTTTTTAAAGAACCGCCGCCATCTTAGAGGTTAGATTCACAATACAGAACAAAAGCAAAATCCAAGAGCATGAATCATGATAATGGAACTGTTTACAAAGTATGAGCCAGAAAACAGTGTAAAACGACAAATTTAGTACAAAATTTTAAACAGATGAGATGTAACCTGTTTCGTAGCCAGTCTCCAATACAATTCAATTTTATATACAATTGTTCCCAGAGAGAAGGAAAAGATAACAAAAAAACGTAAGAACAATGATAAAAAAAACGTGTTCACATTTCTACTATACTGACCAAATAAAATGGCCAAAAAATTATATCCAGATTTAGAGTAAAAAAATGAAAATCAGGAGCAAGACTGTAAATCCTAACTTAATAATCTTAATTTTTTTATTATCTTATACTATTGATTTCCAATTATTTATTTGTTTGCAAATATTTAGTTATTGTGGAAGACTGAGACTATTGCTGGAGAACTGAGTTATAAACATATAACAACAGACATCTGATTAGATCAAGATCAAATTTTAATCCTGATAAACCCGGGTCAAAAAACAAAAGAAGACTTACAGAAGAATATTTAAGACTCAAAATAAAAAGGATATCAAGAAGAGCAAGAGGTAATCTAAGTCAGTTAGGGATGGATGACCCCACTGAGTATGATGCTCATAGCTGCTTCATTAGCAGAGGCACTGGGTATCTACCTGAGAATTATTCCCAACCCCAAACTGAGACAAGCCATATGCACTTATACATTTGACAGCAGCTTGCCACATTCCAGCTGTCAACTGACAAAAAATACCCCTAACCAAACTTTGAAAAAACTTTTCTGAAACTCACTTAGAAACATTTTGAAGGGTAAACACTTCGAAACTTACGCTTGAAGCTTACAGCACATCGCTTAAAGCTGCTTGAAGCATAAGAAGTGTGTTTCGCTCTTCATAAAGCGCTTTTCTTTTGAAGTGTACGCTTTAGACAAGATAAGAGGATATGAAAAGGTTTTTGACACATTTAAATGCCCCCATGTATCTTCAATTGACAATGTGAGCATAATAAGATATATATGTATGCATGTAGCTTAGTTTATAATGTTGCTTCTATACTTCGCGCATATAATTCTTATTTACTAATCAGGTCATCGGTGATTCTATTTGTAAATTATTATACCACCATATATTATACGTTCGAATTTTTACAAAATTTAACGCCTCATTAGGTACATCGAAATCAAGTCAAGTGAGAATGGAATGAAATAAAGAATGGAATGGATTGTGGAATGGAATGTTCATTCCCATTCTCTCATTTGGGTCTGATTGGAGAATGAAGTGGGTATGACAATCTTTTTTATTCTGTCCATTCCCTACCATCTCATTGGGAATGTTATTCCCATATAACGTGAGAATGAATGAAAAGTGCGAATAAGCATTCCAACTTCTAATAAGGTGTTGTGTTTGGTACGCATGAATAAGAAGTGAGAATGAGCATTCCATTCCCACCCATTCCCCCATACCAAATAAGGCGTAAAATTAAAACTTAAACTCATGAGGCTCAGATTTTGAAGTTACACTTTGCTTCATTTGGTTCTAACACTTCGCATTGCACTTCCACTTTTTTAAGCATTGCTCCAAACTAGAGAATGCTTGTCGCAACCACTAGTTGAACTGGCTTGGTTAAGGAACCTAAGGTTCAAGTAAAAGAAAATAAAAAGTAGTATTGATTTGAAGAAGGTTTGTTTATCTGTCAAGTTACAAGCAATATAATTTTATTTGTTTTTATACTTGCACAATTTAGAATGTTCTGCAATGACAACATTAGAATGATTCTCTTCTAATCTACAATGAGAATGCTGCTCCATTACAATCATCTCCTATGTTTCAAGTCCAGACAGCTACATTACATCATTCAAGCAGAGCCTCTTCAACTATGATTACATCATTCCTGTGTGTGCGTCTAAACCTTTACAAGTCTCGTTTTATTCTCAATCCAGTCACCCTCCGGCTTCTCAAGAATGCACTGGTTTCTTGCATATCTTCTGCCATGATGAAACCCATCTGCCTTCAAATTTTAATTTTAGCTACATAAGCGTGTGGGACAAGTTTCTGTCCATGGTAACCTATAGCGCATGCTACTATATGAACTACATCTTTCTCATGAATGTAGAATCTCAATAAGCACAAGTATCATCCCCCCTAGTCCTCAATTACTAGCCATTCCTAAAAGAGCATATTCACTTATGCATTGAAGCATAAATCGACAATTGAAGCATAAATCGACAACCAACTTGATTTTTATGAAACTATTCATAATTTATAATCCATAGTTTGTACTCATGATATATTTTCAAAGCAACACTTGAATAAGAACAAAAGAATAGCTTGGTGAAAACAAATTGACAGATGACAAAGACAGCTTAAAAGATAACTTGCTGAAAATACATTGAATAAGCACACTGCATGACGAAGAGAAGTTGTAACTATCCTTCACCAAAGGACCAAAGAAGGATTAAATGAACATTTAATCCTTCCTTGGAGGTAAATAGTAAAGCCAAATACTAAATTATGCTATGTTCTTCCCATTTATTTTACTAAACAAAAAAAAACTATACACCCTGATACAAAGAAGGCAAGAAAATGAAAAGTAACAAAATTTAAAGCAAAGATTCCATCTAACGAAAATTGTAAACTCAACAGATTAAGAAGTACAAATAATTCTACTATGATTAAAAAACAAAGCACAATTGACCATGAAAAGACATACCCTGACAAAGACCGTCCTCTGGAACCAGAACGAGAGCGAGAAGAAATGGATCTCGAGCGAGATCTGGACAACGAACGGCGCGCTGACTTGGATTTGGGAGATTTGCTGCATATTAACTTCAATTAGGTCAAATGAGAGAGCAGTTAGATTCAAATTCATGACAACTAAATCAACATGAGACCTCCTATCACGGCTTCGGCTCCTTGAATGAGAACGACTACGACTGGGGCTTCTAGATAAGCTTCTCTTACGGTCATGCTCCTTAACCTACAAGCAGGAAACAATTCAGTATATGTACTCGAATAGAGATGAGTTCTACAAAAATGTGGAAAGAACAACATACTCTTATATATGCTCGAGAAAATGCATTCCGAAACTCAGAATCATCAAGTTTTCTGATCTGCAAGCAGAAACAAATGAAGCTTGTCAACAAAAAAATACTCAAGTTTGTGCCAAAGTGCTTGAGCTGCAAGTAGTCAACCAAGAATATAAACATAACATACCGCATATTTCATGTCATCATAGTTCGAATAATCAACTATTCCCGTAGTGCCTGCAAACATAACTGACACTTCACTGAAAGAAAAAGAATGAACAGCTCCCTCAAATAGAAGTCAACACAAGGAGCATCATACGTGCATGCATGTACATATCACACAATACACACGAATATGTTGAGTGTTCGTAGGAAAGGTCTGATGATGACAGCTAGAAAAGGAGATGAAAATAACTATGGAGGGATTATTGAAGTTGGATGCATCTTCCTGGGAGCAAATGATGAACTACTTTTAAAAAATCCAAAATGACACAGTACTAGGCAAATGGGAAGGAGTTTGATTCATGGATGTGGACACAACTTTCTTACAAGGACACCATCAAAAGGTCTCCTAAATGTTAACTTTCCAAGGGCAAAAAAATAGGGTTATATATGTTTTTTTTTCATAATATATACACTATATTTAAGAGAAGTCATCCTTTTCGTTTGTGTCACATTTTCAAAAATTCTAGAAATGCCCTCACGCTTTGAAAAATCAAAGAAAACACACTGTCATACTCGAGAGAAATCTACAGATAATGCCCCTCAGTCTTTTAGGTCCCCCAGGTACAAAAATGTACAGAATCAACAACTTAGATAATTTAGACTGCAGCCCATGCATTTACAAAGTCTGACAGTATCATTTAAGTGTTTACCTCTACATATAGTCCTATACAAATATAGTCCATGCAAGTCGCTAGCAAAAAAATTAAATAGCTAGTATCATAACTGGAATTGAAGAATCAGTTATTTCCACCAGAATCAAGCAACTAAACACATGAGACTAATAATAAATCTGTGAAGAAAATAACCTAAAATAAAAAGAGTACACATAAAGAGTAACACACCTCCTCCATCACGGAATACTTCAGAGAAACAGACGTCACCAGCTCGGCGCATATGGTCCTAGAGAACATCCATTTTAATCCAACCACAATTTAAATTACACACACATTTGAGAAAAATGTAGGAACTTGGTACCAAACACAAAATTTATAATTTTGTACTTGGTAATGAGGTGGTTCATTCTTATCCACTCCCTAACCCATGTGAATGTGGTCCCTCATTTGAATGAGTGAATGGAAATGTGCCACATCACTACCAAACACAAAAACTTGAACTTGGTACCAAGTTTCTCCATATTGCTATATATATATATATATATATATATATATATATATATATATATATATATGTACATATATGTATACATACATAGAAATACATATATACATGTATATATATGTAGATATATATACATACATATACATATATATACATGTATATCTATGTATATGTACATATATATACCTATATATGTGTATATGTACATATATGTATGTATACATACATATATAGATGTATATACATACATACATATATCTATACATACATGCATACATGTATATATGTATACATACATACATACATACATGTATAAATATATCTATACATGTACATGTATATGTATGTGTATATATATAGATATATATAAATGTATAGATATATGTATATATATGTATCTATATATATATATAGAGAGAGAGAGAAAGAGAAATGGGTATGTTTGGTACCAAGCACAATTTTTTGTGTTTGGTAGTGAGGTGTCTTATTCTCATGCACTCATTCCAATTCCCAACCACTCATTCTAATTCCTAACCACTCCTCAACTCATGTGAATGTGAGCCCCGATTTTAATGAGTGAAGGAGAATATGTCACCTCACTACCAAGCATAAAAACTTGTGATTGGTACCGAGCATACCCATTTTTCTCATATATATATATATGTAAAGCTCCTATAAACTTAATTGGATAGAAACTCTTGTCCACCAAACTTTTTAGCCTTTGATTTTGCTTTGAGATTGAAAAAGTTAGTGGACAACAAGCCATTATCCATTTGAGTATATAGGAGAGTGTGTGTGTGTGTGAGCACACAAGCACACGTATACATGAAAATGAACCATAGGAAAACATGTTTGAACACTACCTTCAGGTCTTGCCATGATGCAGAAGAAGGCAAACCAGTGACCCTCACTGCATTGCATAATATACGATTAAATCAAGATGTATAAAGAGGGGCACAACTTGGAACTGCATAAAGACAACAACTGCACCTCGATAATTTGAATGCCTTGAAACACCACCACGGGCGCCTCCTCCATTGTAACTGCGAGGACGATCAAAAGACGAAGAATGGCCTCTTCCACCATGCGCAAGTTCCACCTGTGTAAGCACAGAGAAACCATAAGATAATGGAGTGAAATGGCCTCTTCCACCATGCGCAAGTTCCACCTGTGTAAGCACAGAGAAACCATAAGATAATGGAGTGAGACACAAAACATATAATAAAGAAATCAACCTTCCCGTCCCTAAACAAAGAAACAAAAAAGCCTACCCGTAGCCTGCTACCATCAAAATTATAGCCATCACGACCGCGGATCGCATCTTCAGCATCACGAGCCTCCTCAAACTGTGAAGAAAAAAAACCCAGCAACATCAACACAGATGACCCACTCCAAACATAAAAGCAAATCTACTTGAAATATTGAGGTATAACCACATAGTTACTGCTTTCGAAGACATTCTGCTATGTAGTGCAATGTTTACAACAAGAGGCTGTTTGGTTCAGGAAAAAAGAAAGAAAGAAAGAAAGAAAACCCAATAAACCAATTCCAAGAAAAGCCACATCAGCTTTTCTCACGAAAGATTTCCTTTTCTGCTGTTCGTTTCTCATTTGGAAAACAAGAGGAAGGATGAGTTGGCACCTTCCCATTTGTTGATTTGATTCTAATTCTAGGAAAACCATTTCAGACTTTTTGTAGGAAATGGCTTGGAAATCTTTTAAGGAGGTTTCTTCATCGAACATTCTTTTCTTGGATTTGTGGGAAATTAACCAAACAGCCCTATGCAAACATAGTTGACTTTGTTGGATTACATTAAGGAAGCATTTACTTAAAAAATAAAGAAATCTAAGGAAGGATCGGAGAAATCTTCAGATCGATAAATATAATTACATGATGTAGTACCTCGACAAATGCATAACTTGGAGGCCTTGGAAGGATCTTTAGATCAATATTACGAATAGGTCCATACTACAAAAGTAAAAAAAAACAATGTGTTAGCAAAGTATACATGCTACTATCGTGAAATAGTAGTATGCAAGTTATAGAGTTGTGGTATTTGAGTCAGAAACATAAATATCCCCATACGCACACATTTATATGCATATCTATTTCATGCTGTTACATGAAACATTAAAACATGTTGCAGACAACTAACAAGCAATAAAGTTCTGGTGTCTGAAACACATAAAGAGAGATAGTTTGATCATTGTGACGATTCATGTAAAACCATTCCAATATAAGACAATTTTCCATGTAACCTAACCATGTAAGAGTATATTTGCAAGTTCTAAGAAAGATAGGACTAAAATCTCATCATAATCAAAATAACAGGTTGGAACATGAACCCATATGGTAGTAAAGCACAGAAATGCATCTCCAAATTCCAATATCTTCCTCATATAAAACAGATTGCAATAAGAGATCAATGAGTTAGTTTCATGCATATATGTGATATATGTTCAAAGACTTCCACAACATGGCAACTAATTTAGAATTTGAAAAGATAAGAGTCTTGGGTCCTTGTTACCATGTAAGTTGATTCAACACGAATCACAATGTAGGAAGCGTAATGGATAATTGCCTTCAGAAAACAGTAAGAAAGACACTATTACGTAATTATGTTTACTGATGAAACAAAAGTTTCTTTTCATTGCAACCATCACAACCAATTAGTTGGAAATAGAAAGTCACCCATATGATAATGCAATTTATTGTTGTCATAATCGCTGTATTATAGCATAGGTTTATGTATATTACTAAGCCAGGTGGAAGTCATAGAAGAATTGCATTTTTTGAGATAAAAGCCAAGACAACTATCATCCTATGAGAAATTGTCATTCCATTTCAATTAATAATCAGATTAGCCATCACATTGAGACAATTGCAAGGTTAACACTAATTATCTGTTCAAAATTCAAAGTCCAACAATACATATTAAATTTTTAATCTAACATAACATTGATTTTCATGGTACATTCTTGGCATATCAATATTATTAAAAAGTTCTACAGCTTCAAGATCCACAAGTTTCCCATAAAAATGAATAGCAAATGGAAGCATTAATGCAGCTATGCTAAATATTTATGAATGAAAGAAAAAAGTTAGTCTTTGCTATAAAAAAAATCTTTGATCTCAATTTTAGGAGACATCACAAGAGGGGGGAGGGGGGGGGAGAGAGAGAGAGAGAGAGAGAGAGAGAGAGAGAATTAATCATTTCATTTGGCACCAACTCATACAATAGGAGATATGACAATTTAATTCATAGAAAGAAGACGTTGGAAGGGAAGATAAAGAATATATTGGTATGAAGCTAAGATCTACAAGGACAAAATCCTAAAGCAAGAGAAGCTAAACTGCAAACACAAATGAAACATTTGAAACGTTGATCCAAAAGGACAAATTCAAATACGTGTATTGAATTATGTCAAGCAAAAACCCAAAACAGACCTGAGGTTCATCGAGCACCAAAAATGACAAAGGTCAAACATTGCATAGATCATGTTTCACAACTATCACATACAATAACTTTTTCATCCGAAGTTAAAAGCTAATATGCAAAGGCAAATCAAGCAATGTCTATCAAAATATGTTTTATCTACCAGTAGCTTCATACATACCACAAAACCTCAGCATACTCAAATCTCAATAATTTCACTATTAATTGGCTATTTCTCTTTGATTTTTCTCTTCTCATTATTTCTTTCAGCATGGTAAAACTCCAAACAAAAAGAAAAAAAAAAAAATTCTTTGTTCTTTATTTCTTCTGTTATTCTTTTCTGCAATCAATGAAACCACCAAGCCTATTGACTGCATCATTATTATAAACTACATATAATTGTGTAAAAATGAAACTCAATTAGACCTATGATGAGATACTAAATACTCGTATTAAATAATGGAAACAGACATTACATAGAATTTTAAAAATTGTAAAAGAAACAAGAAATCCAAAACAAACCTTGTAGAACAAATCTTCAACCTCCCTCTCTCGAACATCCCCAGGGAGATTGCCAACATAGAGGGTTCTGCTCGAACGGCTGCTCATAATTCCTGAAAACTCAACATAAACAAAAAACAAATCAAAGATGAAGCGACTGTCACATTCGAGATCTTCTAGGTTTTCCTTCCAGCTCATTTGGAATCAATTTCGAGAATCTTAGTGGGGCTTTCAGTTTCAGGAATCGGTTTTTTTTCCTAGGGTATTTCAAAATTGCAAAATTTTAAATTTTAAATTCTGGGGAGAGGGTTCCTAAAACTCGAAAGAAACAAGAACAAATTGGAGACGAAGCTGTCCCTCACATTCGAGATCTTCTAGGGTTTTCTTCCAGCACAATTAGAATCGAATTTGGGAATGATTCTAGGGCTTTCAGTACCAAGATTCGTTTTTTTTTCATTTTCTAGGGTTTTTGAAATTAACAAATCTGGGGATTTTAGGGATTTACCTTCGTGAAGATGCGGCGAGGACGAGAGAGGGTTTGGATAGGAACCGTGATGCTGCTAAGGGGGTGCGTTTACTGTATTTATGGGCCAAACAACGGAGGAGATTTTTTAACCCTAAAAGACCCACTTTAATATTTTATTACAATAATTCACCAAGTTAATATTTTCTTGCAAAATTCATCTCTAGATTTGTAAATATCCGGGACTCCATGAACGGTACCTTTATTTTACTGTATACACGTGGAGGAGAATTTATTTAGAAAGACCGGTTTTAATATTTCATTACAATATTCGACCAAGTTAATATTTTATTGCAAAATTTAAGTTTTTAATTCTGTTATGTAGATATCTGGAACTGTCAATATCGGGTTAAGATTTAACGAATCAAATAGACTAACTTTGTAAATGTATGTTAATTTTGTAAATATAAAGTGGTTGATTTTCTTATAGCCAACTCTAAAAATTGGTTTATAAGAGAGGTTGCCCAACTGCAAAATGTGCATTTGTCGAGGATAACTTGCAAACAACTTACAGAAACTATTATATACTAAGTTTGTTTTTCAATTCGGTTGATATAAAGAATGACAAAATGAATCTTCTAGGGGATTTTGTGCAAAATCTAAGATTGAGCAGTAAAGTTTTGCTGGCCAATTCATTGTTAAGGGGCTGTTTGGATGACTTTAGGAAACTAGAGTATTTATGACATAAAATAGAAAGTGGTTATCCACCTCACCACTTTCCATTCGAGTGTTTACATTGCTTGGTTAGGAATCTTTATAAATCCTAAAATAATAGTATTACATTGTTTGGATAGTATAATGTAAACTAGAGTATTTATGACACAAAATGGAAAGTGGTTATCCACCTCAACACTTTCTACAATGTTTTGACTTTTTTATTATTTTTTTGGACACATTTATGACATTGTGTAAGCTTTCCAACAAAATCACTCCTAATTTTGGTGATTTTGCTTTCGGTGATACCTCATCAAAAGGTGTAAGTTTTTCATGTCAAGGAGAAGTTAAACAAACAATGTAAAGTGATGAAAGCTGACATTGGGACCTACTTTTTTACACTTTCCATCCTTTTACATGATAAAAACATACAACCAAACAGCCCCTAATCGGATCTTATTAGTCCTAATTCGTTGCTAAATACATATTTTAATCTATATCTATATCTATATTATGTCTATATATGCTTCATATAAAAGAGGATTGCCTTGTCAAAACTTTTAATTTCTATTTTTACCCTCTTAGGTTTGATAATTCTTAAATATGACATTAGTTGTAATTAATTATTCATTAATTATATGTTATAGCCTCTTATTAATTATGTATTTCCTCACATTTTTTAAACCTTTGGTCACACTATTATATTATTATTTAAGTATGTTATTTCATAAAAAAATTTAAATTTGTCCTTAATTTATCTTCACTTAATGTTTAAAATTCTAGAAAAATTAAAAATAAGAAAATTCATTAGGCCTATGCCTTGTGCCTTTGGGTTTCACCTCTTATAGAGAACTGACTCTTACCTTTCATCTTATTAACCTCTTAGAAGCATAGTATGAAAAATAATTTATATTTATTATAATTGTAATAATATTCATAGGGTATAATAATTTTAATAGTGCTTTTAAATTGATTTAATAATTATACAATTTAGTAAATTATTTACTAATAGTACAATAAAGTAATTATTAAATTAAAATGTAGTTATTAATAATGTTATGTGTACGCTATGTACAATAGTATTATATTTAAAAGAGAATAAATTATTTAATATATGGTAATTATTTTAATAAATTATGAATAAATTATAATAATTAATCATACAGTTCTTTCTATATAGTTTTATTGTATAATTTATTCATTTAAACAAAATTGTAACTGTTCATAACTTATATTACTATGCAAGTCATTTCATTATTTTGCAGCCAACAACAAAAAAAATTAAAACAACATAAATATGTTGTGCAAAGCAATTGCACTATACTAGATTACTAGTTCTTGAAAAGTTCAATTATCCAGTTGCCGAATAGCTATATAATATTATCTTTCAGGCTCAATTTGATCGTACTTTAGATCAAAACTCGTTATAAAATTGCATAATCGCCGACTGCCTTCTAAAAGTACTCAATATATCCGACATGTAACTATTCTGTTAACCCTTGAAGTTTTAATAAAGCAGAAGCCAGGTTAAGATATTATAAGAGAATTCCATATTCAAATCTCCTTGGAAACAAGATTTTCAAAATTAAAAAGATATAATTACTAGTTATTTAAAATGTCTCAGATCTCAAATCTATGAAAAGAAAGTAAATGTTAAGAGTTCAAAAACTTTCACATTTTCAGTAGAGAGAGACGGAGAGAGATTTCGATATGATACCGATACAACTCAAATTTAGATGTCATTAGACATAAATCATAGAGAGGGGCGGGCATGGTAGACTGAAAAATTCTGGAACAAAGCCATCAAAAGCATTCGCGCAGAAGAAAAGAAGTTTGGACTGAATCTTGACTGCCTTGGCTTTCTCAAATTAGAAATAGGCAAAAAGAGCATTGCATTGCATACACCTCGTTGCTTTTAGATTCCATGATCAAATTCACCAATCTATAGTCCATATCCAACAAATCGATAAAGTTCATATTGTTGAAAACAAGATAGACTGCAAAAGCAAAGTTCTTCAGGCCACACTCTTTTGAGTCTTGAACAAGTTTTCATAAAAATAACTCTCATCTGTTCTAGTAAACAAATTTATTACCTCAGCCTCCGCATCAGGCAAAGAGAATGTATTAGTTGCAAGCATGACGTTCAACATCTAAACAAAGCAACTTTCAAGTTTCACTTTCCTCAATGATCCTCGAGAAGAAAGAGGTCGTGAACAGTACAATGCTAATGATGAGGATTCATTCCACCCCCTTCAGCTTCCTCATTGGCCTTGCGAGCAGCAGCTCGCAGTTGACGCTGTTCCTCTTTATAGATTCTGTTTCTCCGTTGGAACTGCAATGTGATTCAAATTTCAACAAATTATAGTGTCATCCAAGCTTAAGATTAATACATACATTACAATGTTAAGAAATATTAGTTGGGTGAAAAATCAGAGGACTGTGATGAGATGAAAGAGTAGGTTATGACACCCTCCTTATCATTCTGAGGTTGAAAGGTTGAAGGTGGATGCATCATTCCTATGATTTTGAATTCTTAAATTTCCTTAAAGACCTAAAGTTCTTGACAACATGGTGAACACCACCACTCAATCTTCATTAATCCAAATCAAGTGATTATTCGTATGGACAGCTACATAGATTATCCAGAAGTTTTGAGAGAGCTAACTTGTGCACTAGACAATTAAATTGATCCTGTGAGGTATAGGCTTACCTTAAGAATAACCGTCAAAGAATATGATAATCATAAGACCTACACCTAGTCCATTGTGCCATTCATTATGGTCAGTTCCATCATTTTGAATCAATAACAAACTCGGGGGTGGAGGGGGTGGAGTATGAGCTCTGGATTTCTATGGGTTCCACACGGAGGCATAGTTTTCTGCTTCATACTGTATTTGTCATTTAGTGATACTCCATAATTTTGCAGCTCTTACCCCTTGGAAATCGCGATAACTAGTTGCAGAGTCCTGCAATTTTGTTCTTAGCTGCTGGATATACCTCACTCCTAGCACTTTTATGCACTTGCTTTTTTAAAGTAGAAATTGTTGCAGGCTATAAGCATCGACCAATTATGACTATCAATGCACAAAACATACTTATACATTAAGGAAACAAGGTGAATGACCTTGTTATTGGAGTAAATTAATCTTGAATGAAGTGAAAAACCTCGACCTTATGGATGTCCCTTAAAGAAAGTTACGAGATCGATGCATCTAGACCCGTCATCAAGCAACTCTGCTATTTATACTCTTATCTGTCATATTTTCCTACAATGTTACGGAAAGCAATGACCATAATGGGAAGCGCAGGGACAGGCTTTAGCAGGTTTTTGCAACAACGTTATTGTTCTCCTCTTCCATCACCTTTCATATCATTATATTCCGCAAACCATTAAGGGGCTGTTTGGTTGTTTTCCAAATATAATAGGAGAACAATCTCCACGAAAGCAACCATTTCCAAGCATTTCCAATGATTTCTTAGAAAAACTGATTTTTACGTTTGTTTTGCCTTTAAATCAAGGGTGGAAAATAAGTTTTATTCCAATCCATTGCTTGGCAGTTGGTTGGTAACTAGAAAGAGGAAATCCCAAACTTATCAAAAGATATGTCACAATGTCAACCAACGAGCCTATTATTTTAATGATTAATAATAGGTTTCCAACCCATTTCTGAGCTTTCCCAGTTTGAGCTTTGAGCTTCTAACTGGGCTTGCCCTGTTTTGATGACGTGGCAGGGGTTCAGCTGCCGCATTCTATAAATCTTGACGCGAACCAAACTACACAAAAAGAAAGGGTGACACTTTTAGTTTCTACGGTGGGTGCATCAGGTGCTGGAACCCATTTTGTGGGGTTTTCCAAGTGAACCAAACAGTCCTTAAAGAAAAAGTGTCCTCATTAAATAAAAGTACACCTTCATTCATAAAAATATCCTATTTTGTAAAAACCAACTCCAACAAGCATAACCTAGATAGTCATTATCGAGCCCAAGCAGTTATACTCCTTGGTAATGCAGGATTTGCTCAACACTTTATATACTCAGATACAGCTCAAAAAAGTCTTTAGAGATTTTACAAATTTCATTTGGGCACCAAAAGTTTATAATGAAAATTTTCAGATACCACATGTTTAGCTTTCCTCCTACTTCAGTCCATTTCCAGTTCTTCCACGATTTGCTATTATATTAGCCTACAAACTGCCAACAACAGGAGCTCATATCGAAGTGAATGAGTCTAACCAATAATCTAGCCTTACCGCCACTTGAATTCTCTTTATTGCTAAGTTGCAGTTCTCACGTTGCTTTTTTTCTTGCTGTTAAAACATTTTGACATGGTTAATATATAGATGCGCTAAGAGATGTCAATGAATGTCTATCTGAAACAAATAAATTCCATTCTTACCAGTCATTCCTTAGATCC